CAAATTATTGCAGCATTACATGTTTATCCACAAGGTAGTTTACCCAGTGATACTAAAGTCACTAAAACTCATAGTAAGGAGCAATGTAGTGAACTCACTATAAGGAGTGGCACTCAAATCAACCAAGGAGATAAGTTTGGGGGAAGAAATACGATATATTCAACCCCCATGATTGTTCAAGAAGAACCAATATTATAAGAGAATGAACCATTTGATAAGGATGTGAATGAGGTTCAACAAGTGAATCAGTTGAGTGTAAATAAAAAAATATTTCCACAACAAAAGAAAGATCTCCACCAGCAGAGAAAAAATTCAGACCCCCACCACCCTTCCCTCAAAGGTTAAAGAAGACAAAACATGACCTTCAATTCAAAAAGTTCGTTAATATTCTTGACAAGCTGTATATCAATGTCCCATTACTGGAGGCCATTGATCAAATTCTCTTGCATGTTAATTCCTCAAGGATATTGTCACCAAAAAAAGAAAGGTCAAGAGATATGAAACAATTACTATAGCATATGGGTGTTTTTCTGTGTTGAGCAAGCATCGCCAAAGCAAAACGTTTCTGGAAGCTTTGTCATTCCTATTTCTATAGGTGGTAATTATGTGGGGAGAGCCTTATGTGATCTTGGATCGAGTGTCAATTTGATGTCCAAGTTGGTATTATTGAAGCTTAGGATAGAAATGTGAGGCTAACCACCGCTATCTTGTAATTAGTCGATCGATCTCATCTCTGACCTGAATGAAGGATCGAAGATGTCGTGGTCAAGGTGGACAAGTTTGTTTTTCCAGTCGATTTTTTCATCATTGATTATGAATATGACGACAATGTGTAGAAATAAAGTTTTCCAGTTCTGGTAAATAGAGTTTTTCGATTCTGGTAAACGAGGTTTTTCTATTCTTAAATTATTTTTATTTAAAGAACAATTGCATATTACACAAGAAGATACATGGGATTTTTATCTGCATGAATTAGAGACCTAGATAAGATATGATGCATATTTTCTATAAATTAGGAGATAGTTTTAGAGATAAGTTAGGATTCAGACTTTAACTTAAACACTACTTACACCCCCTCAAACTAGGGAGTAAATATTGTGAAGATTCAACTTGGATATAATTTCATCAAAGGAAATCCTTGGAAGTGCCTTGGTCAATACATCTGCTAGCTGCTTTTGTGAAGGGATGTAGTCTAGTTTTAGAGTTCTGACATTTATTTTTTCTACAATAAAGTGTCTATCGATCTCCACATATTTTGTTTAGTTGTGGTGCACTAAATTCTTTGCAATGCTTATCGTAGATTTACTATCACTCTGAAGTTCAAAATTGTTGTTGTCGCACATCTCAAGTTTAGTTAAAAGTCTTTGTAGCCAAATTCCTTCACACATTCTGAGTGTTATCGCCCTATATTCTGCTTATGCACTGCTTCTGGAGACTACTAATTGTTTCTTCGTTATCCATTTCACTAGGTTTCCCCACACAAATGAGCAGTATCCTATGGTTGACCTTCTATATGTTAATTCTCCATCGCAACTTTAATCTAAGAAGATTTTAACTATTCTATCTTCATGTTTTCTGAAAATCAACCCATGTCCTGGTGTCATCTTTAGATATCTTAAGATTTGATTAACTGACTATAGATGTTATTCTCTTGGATCATTCATGTATTGAATAACAATGCTAACACGAAAAACAATGTCAGGTCTATCTAGAGATAGATAAATGAGTTTACCAACTAGCCTCTGATAATGTTCCTTGTTTATTGGGTTTCTATCTTTACTCAATTTCAAGTTAACTTCCATAGGAGTTCTCGATGGCTTACAATTACTCATTCCAGTTTTATAAAGTAAGTCTAGAATATACTTTATTTGATTTATGACAATTCTTTCTCATGATCTCACCACCTCCATGCCTAGGAAATATCTCAGAGTTCCCAAATCTTTGGTTTCAAACTCTTTTTTCTAGTAATTTCTTCAACTTCTTAATTTCTACCAAGTCATCACCTGTGATGATGATATCATCAATGTATGCAATCAAGATTGACTTCTTCTTATCATGAGCAGTTTTTACAAACAGTGTGTGATCGGATTAACATTGTTTATAGTTGTCTTGTAACATTACCTTCGTAAATCTATCAAACCAAGCTTGATGTGATTGTTTTAGACCATATAAGGATTTCAGTGATTTATATACCCGATTATTTATAGAATGAATTCCTGGTGGAACTTGCATATAGAGTTCTTCTTCAAGATTGCCATTTGGAAATGCATTTTTTACATCTAGTTGGTGAAGTATTCAATCCTTGTTCATTGCCAAGGATAATAGAACTCGAACAGTGTTGAGTTTTGCAAATGGAGCAAAGGTCTCCTTATAGTCAACTCTATAAGTCTAAGTGAACCCTTTTGCCACAAGTTTAGCCTTATATCTCTTGATTTTTCCATCTGCCTTGAATTTCATAGTAAAGACCTATTTGCAGTCGAATGGTTTCTTATCTTTAGGTAGATCAACAATGACCCAAGTTTTGTTGTGTTCTAGAGCTGAAATTTCTTCTTCAACTACCTTCTTCTACTTAGGACTTTTTAATGCCTCCTATATGGTCTCTGGAATGTGAATATGATCAAACTGAGCTGTGAAAGTCTTCAAATCATACATTAGTTTCCGTTGAGAAACAAATTACTAATAGGATGTGGTGTACATCATCTAACTCCCTTTCTTTGAGCAATTAGTAACTCACTAGTATCAATTACCACATCCAACTTACTTTAGTCACTATATCCTTTCTCTGTCGATGAATGTAAACCCGGTTCTGGCTCATATCAATGCATTGGTTGCAGTGTAGAAGGTAGGGCTTGTTTGGGTCGTCTTTTTTAGATGAGAATACCAATAGATGGTCTAGGTGTTTCATAAGAGTCAATGGAATTAATGGAGTGGTTTTTATTATCAGATGTGGTGGTGTTAGGAGGTTGTGGAGTGGTAGTTTTTTTAGTAGAAGATGGACCGATGGGTAACTCAGTAATAATCAATAAAAATTGAATTTCAGGCTCACTCTCCCCGAGATTTCAATTTTTGAGAAGAATAATTTATGTTCTTGAAAAGTGACATCCATAGATGTGAAGAATTGTTTTATAGAATGAGAATAGCAATGATAACCTTTTTGATGGGATGAATAACCAACAAAGACACACTGAATTACCTGAGGATCAAGTTTAGATTTATAAAGATTACGCTCATGGACAAAGGCAATACAACCAAATACACGAAGAGGAACAAAAGAGGTAAAAGGTTTGAAGTGAGAATTTAGTGGAAATGATATCCTGTGTACACTTAAAGTCAAGAATCTTACTAGGCAAACTATTGATTAGAAAATTTAAGAGAGCCTCACCCCAAAGGTATTTCAGAACATTAGAAGAAAAAAGGAGTGCTCGGGTTACCTCAAGAAGATGACAATTTTTACGTTCAGTGAACCCATTTTGTTGTGCATTGTCGACACAGGAAGTGAGGTGGATTATTCCGTTTTCCTGGAAAAAGGATCCCAACGACAGAGAGAGGTATTCCCCACCATTATCTGATTTAAGGATGCCAATGGAACTTTGGGATTTTGTTTCAACCATTTTTGTGGAATCATTTGAAGATGGTACAAGACTAAAATTAGTCCTTCATAAGAAATGTTCAAGTGGCACGAGAGTGGTCTTCAATAAAAATAATAAACCAACAAATTCCATGTAAACCCGTAACCCGTGAAGATCCCTAAATGTCACTATAAATTAAGGAAAAAGGTTTGGACAAATGAGAGGTAGAACGAGGATAAGAACTCTGAATGTGTTTTGAAAAAGAGCAAATGTAACAAGAAAATGATGCGGGATTTTTATTAATAAATAATTTGGGAAAATATTTTACAAGATAAGAAAAACCTGGGTGACCTAACCTAAAATGCCATAACACAATGTCGGCAGACGCATATGTGGGAGAAATTAAAACAAAAGAAGAGATAAAGGGTGCATGTGAGTGGTTGTGAAAGAGAGTATAAGGATGAGCGTCAAGGATGTAGAGTTCACCACAACGCCTAACATTGTCAATCACCAACCCCGAGGTCAAATCTTGAAATTCACAATAATCATGAGTAAAATGAGAAGTACAACCCAAATCAGTAGATAATTTGCTAAACAAAAAATATTTCAAGTCAAAGATGGAACAAATATAACATTAGATAGAGTAATGTGGCTATTAATGCGAATTAAGCCACTTTCCTTAACCGATGATAAGGAGCTATCAGCGGTACGAACACTCCAAAAGATACTAATTTTGTGAAATATGGAAAATAAACTGAAGTTGCCCTTCATATGATCACTTGATCTGAAATCAACAATCCAAGAGACACACCATAGTGAAAGGGACAAAAAAGTAAAATGAGAACTACCTTAACTAACAGTGCAGGTAGACCTGGACTCAATAGCATGAGAAATCTATAAATAACCAAACATCTGTTGTAGATTGTCCAACTATTGACGAGAAAATGAACCACCCTCCATTGTTGTTACAGCAGAGTTATCGTGAGATGGATGCGATGATGGTTTGGATGAAGTCCAGTTGGTTAGAAAGTCATGGAGCTTTCAGCATTTATCACGAACATGACCAGGTTTTCGATAATGATCGCACTATGGACTACCTTTTTTGACACGAGTGTCACCGAAGGAATGGGTAATTAAGGTAGAACTTTCAAATGGTGGAGGAAGCATCAGAGAGCAACAACATTCTTCACGGTGAACTTCAGAGAACACCTTGCGAAGAGAAAAAATAGGCCTGATGCCCAAAATCCAACCACGAACATCATCAAGAGATACTGACAGTCCCGATAGGAATTGAAAAATACATCGTTTTTCAAGTAGCCCTTTGTAGTGTTTGGCATCTGCATCGGTTTGCTAATCGAGAGACTCAAACATATCAATTTGTTGTCATAAGCAAGATAGTTGAGTGAAGTATTAGGTAACAGTGAGATCTCCCTACTTCAAGTTGTTGATTCGACATTTAACGGCAAACAAACTGGACGAGTTTTCCTGATTAGAATACGTCTCATTGGTAGCCTTCCAAATCGAGGCGGTGGTGTAGAGCATGATGTTCACGCTAATGTCAAGCAGCATAGAGTTGAGGAGCCAATAAATAATTATGGTGCTCTTTGTGAGCCAAGTGTCATATTGGGGGTTAGAGGGATCGAGGACTGAAATATTATCAGAGAGATATTGTTGTTTTCGGTGACTTGTGATGAAAATAGGCATGGATTGAGACCAAACAATGTAATTCTCACCATTTAGACAATGACAAGTAATGGATGAGGAAGCTGAGTCTGAAGGAGGTGACTGAACAATGGAATTTTCATCCTCAGATAGCAGGTTGGACGAAGAAGGATATGCCATGACTGCCGAGGAATTGAGAGCTTGGGATATGTCACGAACTAGCAGGGAACACTGCTATAAGTGTCAATCAGAGATTTGAGGAGATCGACGCTAGGATGAGTATCAAATGGGCAGTGCGACAATGAGATATTGTTGACCAAAAAGTTACTAACAGCGGCGGAACATGTACCAAACATCAATAGAACATGTACCAAATAGAGAAACGGGAAGGGATGCCGCTTTGATGAAGGCAACGCTAGATCGGCAATATGACAATAACAGTACGGTGAGGAGAGCAGTACTGTGAAAAAAATGAATCTGTTGTGGTTGCATAACAAGGAAGATGGCGCTGCGAAGAGGTTGTGCTACAAAGAAGATGGCGCTGCGATGAGGACGACGATGTGAGGGATGCAGTGATGCGAGGAGAACTAGGTTGCGATGAGGATGGTGCTATAAATGGTGTGGTGATGGGAGAAGAACAACGCTATGATAGGTGGTGTGTTGATAGGATTTCACAATTGGAAGGACAACAGTGCACAGAATGCACACTGTTGGGCAGGAGGATGGCCAACGACAGTGGCAGCAAGGCTAGGATCGATGTCGGTGATTAATACCATGTAGAAACAGAGTTTTTTGGTTATGGTAAATGGAGTTTTATGGTTTTGGTAAACAAGGCTTTTTTATTCTGAAATTATTTTAATTCAAAAGAAAAATTGCATATTACACAAGAGTATACATGGGATTTTTGTATACATGAATTAGAGACCTAGATAATATAAGAGTCATCTTTTCTACAAATTAGGAGATTGTTGAACTATATTTTGATATAACAATTTATGGCAAAATCTTTTTGGACTTGAATTGAATTTATTCAAATTTTTCAAAAATAATTCCAAGTCTATTTAAGTTGGAATTGAGCATAAATTGTTTTTTAATAGTACTATACTGTATGAATAGTATTGATACTGTATGAATAGTACTGATACTATGTGAACAGTAGTATTGATACCATGACTAGTAGTATCGATACCATGAACAGTACCGATGCTAAAAAATTCAAGAATACAAAAATGGTACCGATACTACTACAGTAATATTGATACCATGAACAGTAGTATTGATACCGTGAACAGTAGTGTCAATACTATCAAGCCCAACGGTCAAAAATTCAAATATTAGAAAGGTAGTATTGATACTCATTGAAGGAGTACCGATACTTCTTGTTCTGGGCAGTTTTATTTTGCAGAAAATTAATCCCCAACGACTCCAAAACATCCCCAACGGCTAGATACGACTTCAAATTCATTTCAAGCTATAAAAACAAGCTGAGGACACTTGAAGAAAGAAGATAATACATATCCAAACATTTAAAATATTATAAGGCATGTGATCGATGCCAACTGATGATAAACATCTTTAGGAGACATGAAATGTCGTTATAAAATAATTTGGAGGTGAAACTTTTCTATGTATGGGGAATAGACTTCATGGGACCCTTCTCATCTTTCTTTAGTGATCTTTACATTCTATTAGCAGTTGACTATGTGTCTAAATGGGTCAAAGACGTGGAAACACCAAGGAATGACTCCAAGATTGTACTCAAGTTTCTTCACAAGAATTTTTTATGAGATTTGGAGCACCTAGAGCTATAATCAATGATGAAGGAAACCACTTTGAAAACAAACACATTGCTAAAGCATTACAGAGATATGGGGTACAACATAAAATTTCTATAGCATACCACCCACTGACCAACGAGCAAGCTGAAGTCTCTAATTGAGAGATAAAGCAAATACTTGAAAAGGTGGTCAAACTCAAAAGAAAAGACTAGTCTTCAAAGCTTGATGAGGCGTTATGGGAATATCTAACAACATTCAAGACACCACTTGGGATGCTACCTTTCAAGCTTATATATGGCAAGGCGTTCCATCTACTTGTTGAGCTATAACATAAAGCCTACTAGGCCATCAAAAGTCTCAACATGGATGCCCAACTAGCCTATGAGATAAGATTGTTACAGCTAAATAAGATGGAATAATTCTAGGCCCAAGCCTATGAGAATGCTCGTCTATACAAGGAGAAAACCTAGAATTGGCATGACAACCATATTTTTTCACAACATTCTCATAGAGCTCAACAAGTGCTCCTCTATAACTCTAGGATCATTTTGTTCCCTAGAAAGCTCAAATCATGTTGGTTAGGCCCATTCGAGGTACACGAGGTTTACCCTCATAGAGTTGTTGATACCAAGAACCTTGATAATGGCATAATATTCAAGGTCAATGGCCAACGACTGAAGGTCTACATTGGTGCCCCCATCATTCGTGACAAGTTTCTCTCCTCTTCCATGAAACATAAGAGTTTGCAGCCACTATCTTTTTCTCATTTACTATAGCATTTTTATTTCGTGTGTTGTGCATAAATAAATTATTTATTTATCTTACTCATTTTTTTTTTATTTTCAGCCTTTATTTTAATATTTCTTTTAGCTTTTCTCATTGGTGATAGAAGAATAAGACCAGTTGGGGGAGCAGCACAGCCCGCAGTGTTGAGATGAGCCTACCCAATATTAAGATATGGAGCCCTTCCTCGCCCAATGCCATGACCATGATAGCCCTATCACAAGAAGGAAGTGTACTAGGCGTTTGAAGAGCAAGACACAGCCAAAGTGAGGTACCTCCTTTCCGTTAACATTTACATTCATGTAGTTTGTTTATTTTAGTTTTCAAGCATTGAGGACAATGGCTTTTTAAGTTTGGGGGAGGTAGTGTTCATAGTTAAGCATTTGCATTTAGTAGTTGTTAGTAGAATATTTTATATGGCATTTGTTAGTTTTGATATAGTCATTGGAATAAATTGATGATGCTCAATGATGATTTTTAAGGTTGTGATTGATTGAATGTACATGATAGCTGAGCTTGATAGAACCAACTTTAAGACTTGATTCTTTGCGATTCATTGATACACCATTGTATGCTCTGCACGTTTAAGGAATTTAGATTTTTTTATGAAATGACTCTTACATGCCTAATTATAACTTGATGATTAATGAGCGTAAATGCTCAATAATATCAAGAAAGGCTTAATTTAAACTCCCTTGTAAAAGAACTTGACTAGAATTTTTCTAACATTGTTAAGCATAGACTAGATACATTCTTACACACATGCAAAGGATTTTGTTATAGAGAAAAATTATTGAATTCTCAGCTCACCTAGCATGTTGAAGTCAATTGTTTCTAAGCACTGCAATTTTATGCCATATAAATGTCTTGATCTGAATTTTGTCATAGCATTCTTTTTGTTTATCACTATCCATTGCTTGAGGACAAGGAAAATCTTAAATTTGGGGGTTTGATAACTCCATAAAAAGGCTATATTTCGTTCCTTTTTTCTTAGGTTATTGGTTGTTTAAAAGTTTATTTCATTGCATATAATTGCATTTAAGATCATGTAGTTACATTTGGTAGTGATGTTTTTGCTACAACATTTTAATGATAAAACTAGTGTTGCTTAATGGGAAAGGTTTTGTTTTGCTAATGATGTGATGGTAAACTAAATGAGAAGCAATGATTTGCTGTAGAATTCAGGATGAGAAGAATTGGTAAAATGCTATAGCATTTCTGGGCGTAGAAAAGACAAAATCGAAAGATATTTTATGGTGTTGTCCAACCTATACGTGAATCCCGCCTACTAGCCCATCCAACCCACACATGTGAAGGGAATAGTCCAGTTTTAAGAAATAAGGATAAGTATATCCCATTATTAAGGGGAAGTTGAAGAGCTTTTGGAATTTAAGACAAATAAATTGGGATTTAGAGACTTTATTGTGAAATTAAAAGCTTCTTGGAAATTGGAGAGTTTTTTTACTATAAATAAGTGAAGATAAAAGAAGACAAAAAAAAAAAGCAACAAGAGGCAAAACAATGAACTCCTTTATTCTCCATTTTTCTTCTTTTCATATTCTTTTCGTGGTGTCCTCTATAGTCGAGCTTCAAAGGGGTAGAAGTAGGACCTTAAGAGAGGCTAGCTTGCTAAGGTGTCTAAGGCAGTGGTTCTAAGTCATGGCGGCATCTCACTTTGGGAGTCTTCCTCATCTTTGTACTTTATTTCTATCTTTTTAGTGGGTTTGAACTTAATTGATGATGAAGGTTGAACTTAGCCCTGCCATGAACTAACCTTATTTGGCATGGGTTTGCTCTGAATGATTTTTATTTTATGCTAATGAATAGTTGGATGTTTTTATGCTTAAATGTTTCTTTACTCATTGTTTTTATTTTAATTACTTAGACTTGTAAGAGCTTTAGAGAGTTAGCCATTTTCTAAGTATAGATGCTTAATATTGAGAGAGTTAGGTTAGATCGACTTGAGAGGTTTTCATTGACTAAAAGAGGTAGGACATAATCGATAGGATAGTTCTACAGTTCACGTTGAGAGGTATTGCTGTAGCATTTTCTTTATCAAGTTCTTTACTAGAGATAGCCTAAGAGCACTAATAGAAAATCTTGTCGAGCAGCATACTCATAGAACACATAGACCATTCTAGACATAGAATATTAATTGTCATAGCAAACCAAGTTATTTATCCCTATAGAAGTTTGATTGTGTAAGGTTGTTAAGTCTTATTTCATTCATTAAAGTTCAGTTTCTTTTGCTACAACATTCTTTTACTGCTTGTCACATTTTTTATTTAATTAATTGCTACAACATTTCCATATTGACACTCCTTACACAAATCAATTTTGCCACAACTATCTTAACCACTTGTCTATACCATATATATATTTATTTAGTGACAACCTTGTGTTATAACTTATCTCGAAACCCCATCAATCCCTATGGAGACGATACTCACTCACTCCTACATTACTTGTTTGAATGTGTATACTTGCACATATTTGCATTTAATTTCTAGCACTCACACAACACAACACCTTCTCTCATTTATCTAAGGACTATATTTGGCATTTCATTCTATTTGTAGTTCTTTGGTCTTTGTAGCTCTTTAGGAATGATTTAGTTTT